GATCCGCTATTGCCGGGGGCCCCATGAGTTGTCAGTCCACCCCTGAAACCAACCCTTGTCTAGTGAAAGCTGTGACTGGCAACTCATGGGGCCCCTGGGTAATAGGGGATCATGGAGCTCCTGTGTCCTTGCCCAAACTCAAAAAAGCCTATGAAAAAGGTACCGGAGGCATCACATGGGGCCCCCTACTGACCCCGGGCCCTTGGACAGTGCCTGAGTTTCCAAATGGTCAGTCCGCCCCTGGTTGGTTTGTTGTTTGACATGTGTAACGGACGTGGGACAGTGGGCGGGAATATAGTGCCCCATCATTGGTGTTGGGAGAATAGTTTTCATCATTGGTGTCAGTGGGAGGAATAGTGCCCCATCATTGGTGTCAGTGGGAGGAATAATGCCCCATTGTGGTTTTCCCCATCATTGGTGTCAGTGGGAGGAATAGTGCCCCCATCATGGTGTCAGTGGGAGGAATAGTGCCCCATCATTGGTGTCAGTGGGAGGAGGAATAATGCCCCATCGATTGTGTCAGTGGAAGTTTTCATTGGAGTCGGGAGGGAATAGTGCCCCCATCATTGGTGGTCAGTGGGAGGAATAGTGCCCATCATTGGTATCAGTGGGAGGAATAGTGCCCCATCAGTGGAGGAATAGTGCCCCATCATTGGTAGTCAGTGGGAGGGAATAGTACCCCCATCATCAGTGGAAGTGTCAGTATCATGGGAGGAATAGTGCCCCATCGTTGGTGTCAAGTTGGAGGATTAGTGGAAGGAATAGTGCCCCATCATTGGTGTCAGTGGGAGGAATAGTGCCCCATCATTGGTGTCAGTGGAAGAATAGTGCCCCATCATTGGTATCAGTGGGAGGAATAGTGCCCTATCATTGGTATCAGTGGGAGGAATAGTGCCCCATCGTTGGTGTCAGTGGAAGGAATAGTGCCCCATCATTGGTATCAGTGGGAGGAATAGTGCCCATCATTGGTATCAATGGAGGAATAGTGCCCCATCATTGGTGTCAGTGGGAATAGTGCCCCATCATTGGTGTCAGTGGAAGGAATAGTGCCCCATCATTGGTGTCAGTGGGAGGAATAGTGCCCCATCATTGGTGTCTGTTTCCGATCAGTGGGTCTCATCCTTTTATAACTACAGTGTCCCATCATTGGTGCCAGAAGGGTCATCTGGAGGAATAGTGTCCCCATCTTGTGGCTCCATTTGGTGTCAGTGGGAGGGGTTAAGTGCGAGTGTCCCATCATTGGTATTTCAGTGGGAGGGGAGGTATAGTGCCCATAACCCATCGTTGGTGTCACCGTGGAAGCCGCTAGTGCCCCATCATTGGCCTATTAAAATTTACACAAAACTAGTGCCCGTAATAAAAGCTTCACTGGCATTGATTTATTCTTATTATAAAAGTTAGCAGTTTGCAGAGTGGGAGAAATTGGTGATGGAGCGCGCGGGGGGTTAGTGTCCCATCATTGTGTCAGTGGAAGGAATAGTGCCCCATCGATTGTATCAGTGGGAGGAATAGTGTCCCATCATTGTATCAGTGGGAGGAATAGTGCCCCATCGTTGGAGGTGTCGGGGTGGAAGGAATAACGTGCCCCATCATTGGTGTCATTAAACCGGGAGCACTGAAATAGTGGAAGGACGTTGTTTTATCATTGGTATCAATCCAGGAATTCATCAAAACACAAATTGGAATAGTGCCCATCATTGATATAATGGGTGTCATGTGGAAGGAAATATAGTGCCCCTCCTCATTGGTGTCAGTGGGTCCCCCCTAGGAATAGTGCCCCCCCCCATTGGTGTCTTCCCATCACATTCATGTGGGAGGCCCTTCAATAGTGCCCATCACAGATTCCCAAATCATTGGTAATCACAACATTCCCCCATCAGAGAATCCACAGTCCCCATCATTGGTCAGTCACACATTCCACCCCCCCTTCACACAGTCGCCCATCTGGTCTCATCCCTTTATAGCCACCCTACTACAGCCCCCCCCCCCCCCCCCCCCCCTATAATATGGGCAGCCGAAGGGTACGCAGACCAAGACCCCATCACAGAGCCCCCCCTCCGTCTTTGCTCTAGAGATATTCAGCAACTTGACTTTCCCCAAACATCTTGTGGCTCCATTTGTGAGGTCTCCAGCGTGCGGAGTTGTGACCATCATGGGGTTAAGTGCGAGTGTCCGGTCCATAACCATCATTATGCTTCAGTGCTATATGGGGGGCAGGAAGGGGAGGTAAAAGCCTGCTTCTGTCATAACCCATCTTGTATTTACGATGTCTGGCTGCATCAGTGCCGCGCACTCCTTGCCGCTATCACAGCCTATCAGTGCCCGTCCTATTAAATTTATTTAAAGAGAACAAAACTGTTAAGCGACGTAAAAAAAGCTTCACTGGCAGCGACTGGAGCCTGGAAATGATTTATTCCCACCAAAAGAAGCTCTATCTATTATTATAAAATTTTAGCAGAGTTTGCAGAGTGCCATTTCATCCCAAAATTGCAAAGGGAAAGTGCCCTGGTAGGCAGGAAGGGGGTGAAATAGCTGGGGATGGAGCGCGGGGGAGGGTGCCCCGGGGGCAGGCGCTGGAGCCGTGCAGGAAGGGGGTGATATATCGAAGGGGGTAGAAGTGTCCGTACAAACGTATATCCCTAGGCTTTCCTGTAGGGGATGGAAACATTAAAGCCGCCATGGTATATGTTCCTCTGCACTGCAAGGCGTTGGAAATATGGAAGGACGTTGGCCAGAAGGGGGGAAGAAGTTTTATCTCATATAGTAAAATATGTCAAATATAAAGAATGTCGGCAGGAGGGGGGTGACAGTGCCCCAGGAGGAATTCATCAAAACAGGTAACAATTGTAAGAAAGAAATACAGCTTTCGGAACAAAAATCATCAATATACAGATATAATGGGAAGGGGGTACTTGTCATGTGTTCACTATCTTTAATATAAATTACCCCCCCCCCCTGTACAGAAGCCCTCCTTCGCATCAGAGTCCCCTCTGCATGCCAGCGGGGGGTAGAAGTGGCCCCTAGGCAGGAACAGTCTGAGTCCCCCCGGTAGGCATTGGAGGCTTCCCTATAAATGAGAAAGCCCGCCCCCCCCTCGCCCAACACATCAGAATACCCCCCCAAACAGAGTCTTCCCATCACATTCAATGCCCCTCATCAGAAAGCTCAATCATCACAATTTGAGCCCGTCTTCACTGAGCCCTTCAATCACACAGTCGCCCATCACAGATTCCCAAATTACACCGTTCCCCTCAACATAGAGCCACCCTAAATTACACATTCCCCCATCACAGAGCCTCCCCCCCGCCCCCCCCCCCCCTTCCAACACAGTCCCCCATACAGTGCAATTCCCAAACAAACCAAACCCCACAGATGAACCTCAAGCATAGCGTCCCTTATCAGGCACACCCCCATAGCAAGCCTCCCAGGTAAGGTACCGGGGGCCCCCCCCGGGTCACAGTCGCCCATCACAGATTCAAATATTACAGTTCCCTCAAAGCATAGGGCCACCCTAATCACACATTCCCCATCACAGAGCATCCCCCACACGCCCTTCAACAAAGGAACACAGTCAGGACCCAGGGCCCAGGACAATACACAACACCAAGGCCCTTCTGCCCACAGGCATTCCCAAATTACACCAGTTCATCATCCCCCCTGTTAATCAGGCTAGAGATGTTGAGCCACCCGCTGGCCAGCCCTGGTTCACACAGCAGATCACAAAGGCATTACGTGCCATTCCCTCAACTACAGCCGCTGGGGGGCGAGTCACCATTCCCCCATAACAGTACCCCCCCCCCGGCCCCCCCCCCCCAGTCCTAGCTGGGCACACAGTCGGCCCGGGTATGGCGGGAACAGAATATCACCTCCCCGGGCAACTACCACCGGGCTAACTCCTCACATCCGAGGCGGAAGGCCATCACAGAGGACTCCGGGCCCCCCCGCCCACATCGGGCAGGGATTCTCCGGGCAGAGGCACATCGGGCAGGACTCCGGGCATGAGGCAACAGGTTCCCCTCAACATAGGCAGCACTCCCTAATCAGACATTCCCCCAGCAGCACAGAGCCCCCCGAGGCCTCCGTCACACATTTGGGCCCATCACAGAGTCTCCCAAATTACAAAGCCCCCCCATTACAGAGCCCCCAATCAAGAAAGTTCCCTCATAGAGCCCCCCCCGGGGCACTGCAGGCAGTCATTCATTCCCCTTCAAAGAGCCCCCCAATCAACAGGCAGGGCGACAGTACCCCATCACAGAGCCCCCAATCACACATTTCCCTATGCCTATCAGTGCCATATACAGTATGAGTGCTGCCTTTCAGTGCCCATCAGTGAGGCCTGTCAATGCCCATCAGGGCTGCCAATCAGTGCCGTCTATCAGTGACAGTCAGTGCCGCCTATCAGTGCCTATCAGTGCATCCACTCGGTGCCAGTCAGTGCTGCCTATCAGTGCTATATATGAGTGCTGCCTTTCAGTGCCCATCAGTGATGCTTGTCAGTGCCCATCAGGGCTGCTAATTAGTGTCATCTATAAGTGCCAGTCGGTGCCACCTATCAGTGCCTATCAGTGCATCCACTCGGTGCCAGTCAGTGCTGCCTATCAGTGCTATATGTGAGTGCTGCTTTTCAGTGCCCATCCTTGATGCCTGTCAGTGCCCATCAGTGCCGCCTATCAGTGCCCGTCACTGCAGTCTCATTAGCGCACATTAGTGAAAGAGAAAAATTATTATTTATAAGAATTTATAACAGAAACTAAGAAAAAATGTTTTTATTTCAACATTTTCTGTCTATATTAGTTTGTTTAGCAAAAAATAAAAGAACCCCCTTAGTGGCGATTAAATCCCACCAAAAGAAAGCTCTATCTATCTCAAGCAAATTATACAAATTGTGTTTGGGTAGAGTGTTGCATGACCGCGCAATTGCCATTCACAGTGCGACATCACTGAAAGCTGAAAATTGGCCTGGGCAGGAAGGGGGTAGAAGTGCCCGGTAGGCAGGAAGGGGGGTGACAGTGCCCAGTAGGCATGAAGGGGGTGACAGTGCCCGGTGGGCAGGAAGGGGGTAGAAGTGCCCGGTAGGCAGGAAGGGGGTGACAGTGCCCAGTAGGCATGAAGGGGGTGACAGTGCCCGGTGGGCAGGAAGGGGGTAGAAGTGCCCGGTAGGCAGGAAGGGGGTAGAAGTGTCCGGTAGGCAGGAAGGGGGTAGAAGTGCCCGGTAGGCAGGAAGGGGGTAGAAGTGTCCTGTAGGCAGGAAGGGGGTAGAAGTGTCCGGTAGGCAGGAAGGGGGTAGAAGTGCCCGGTAGGCAGGAAGGGGGTAGAAGTGTCCTGTAGGCAGGAAGGGGGTAGAAGTGTCCGGTAGGCAGGAAGGGGGTAGAAGTGCCCGGTAGGCAGGAAGGGGGTGACAGTGCCCAGTAGGCATGAAGGGGGTGACAGTGCCCGGTAGGCAGGAAGGGGGTAGAAGTGCCCTGTAGGCAGGAAGGGGGTAGAAGTGCCCGGTAGGCAGGAAGGGGTTAGAAGTGTCCTGTAGGCAGGAAGGGGGTAGAAGTGTCCGGTAGGCAGGAAGGGGGTAGAAGTGCCCGGTAAGCCCGGTAGGCAGGAAGGGGGGTGACAGTGCCCAGTAGGCATGAAGGGGGTGACAGTGCCCGGTAGGCAGGAAGGGGGTAGAAGTGCCCTGTAGGCAGGAAGGGGGTAGAAGTGCCCGGTAGGCAGGAAGGGGGTAGAAGTGTCCTGTAGGCAGGAAGGGGTTGACAGTGCCCGGTAGGCAGGAAGGGGGTGACAGTGCCCGGTAGGCAGGAAGGGGTTGACAGTGCCCGGTAGGCGAGGGGTTAAATATTCAGTTTGAATTCTCCTGCCCTAAACTCCTGGGGCTTCTTCTGAAGGCGGGGGGAAGTCATTGAACTCCTGAGGAACCCCAAACAGACTACACCAAACAATGATTTTTTCTGTGATTACAGCAGAAGCAGGGGCAAACTGACAACTCATGGGGCCCCCGGGCAATAGGAGATCATGGGGCCCCTGTATCCTTGCCCAAACTCAAAAGAGCCTATGAAAAAGGTACCAGGGGGTCATGGGGCCCCCTACTGACCCCAGGCCCTTGGGCAGTTCAAGGTCCTACCTTTTCCCAGAGGTTGTGCTGCTCCATGTGCTGGCGTCCATCTTGGGTTTCTGCTGAGTATGGTGGGAATCCTTTATGCCTTCAGGTCTCTGAGGTCCATCCCCCAGAGGGGTGTGGCTGAGTACATATAATCCTGTGGTCCGCACATGCTCTTTGCACTTGTGTCTGGTGTCTTTGTGTTGTTACAGCTCTGTGTATACTCTCGTGACTCTTCTGGTATCTGACTCGGCTTGTGACTAAGACCATTCTCTGTGTTTTCCTTTGATCTGACCTTCTGTTGCTGAACCCGGCCCGTGACCTGAGATTCTTGTTCACTGTTTCTGTACCGTTTTGTCCCGTTGTTGTCGACCCGGCCTGCCTGACTACGCTATTGTCATTCTTACCAGCTACACGCCATTGGGGCGGCGATTACCGCAGCCGGGGTGTCTCGGGGGCCGCAACCTGGTTCCTGGCTGCGTCAAGTCCATCCCCACCATCAGGGGCTCTGGTGAAGGGCAGCCTGGGACTTAGACTCCGCGCCCTGAGGGACTTCGGTCTGTGGGTGGTGGTTGTTGTCAGTCAATGCGTTACCCTGCCACTAGGCCTGCCTGTCCGTTCCACAGCCCCTGCCCTGACAGCTACACCTTCAGTCATTTATTTTAATAAAATATTAATTTGTTTGTAACAATAAAACTTTGGATTTTTATTGTATATTTTCTTTTTGGTTGATGTCGGTGCCTAAAAAGTCCCATCGACCCTTCCATATGTTAAGTTCCATGCAATAATTATTTTACAGATGCTGAAAATCTCCGGCTGGCTGTTATTCAGTTGAACGCAGTTTGTTTGATGCTTGGAAAAGCAATATTCACTTAGTTGGCGCGGTACAGAGAAAAGGGTTGGGTGACCCCTGAGGCTTTGGGGAGCCATGCTTCTGTCGGAGATGGACAGCCCCAGTGTGAAATCATTAAAAAGTCATTCGTTGGACCTTAAAGAGACCGTCCTTCATTGACTGGGATGAAAACATTAAGGAAATCAAAGGAACCATGTTCATTGCCTAGAGCAAGCCGTACGTTCTGTGCCGAGGAACGGAGAAGCTCCTTTCTAAAAAAAATGAAAAAACGCAGATTTGTATTCGCCGCGTGTCGGTGAAATCCTCACTTCCCAGCAGAGCATAATGGAAAGGTGGGATACTCATCTTTCTAACTGGTTATTTCCAGACACCAAGTAGTCCCTTCATGTTGGCAGAGAGAGACGGGAGACTTCAGACAGATCCTTTGATGGGAGCTTCTAACACATTCTTTATTCTTCCAGCTTCCAGGCAGTAGACCAATTCACCGATGGTCATTGGAGGGTGTGATGGGGTTAAAGTGTTATTTCCCTGCAGGGATAGAAGTCACGGGAATCTGCTAACAGAAGATATAATGGGAAAATCAGCCCACAACTGAGCCACTTGGTGGGTTTTCATCATTCTCTGAGACTGAAGGAACAACATGTTCTCCTCTAGGTTTCTGGCTCTACCCCAATGCTGCAACCGGTAACCCGATGGTTCTAAAGGCAATTTTAAAATAAATAAATAAACAATCCAACAGAGTAGCCCAGCTTCCAGTCCAAGAAGAGGGGTGGTCCACGGGAATCTGCTAACAGAAGATGTAATAGGAAAATCAGCCCACAACTGAGCCACTTGGTGGGTTTTCATCATTCTCCGAGACTAAAGGAACTAAATGTTCTCCTCTAGGTTTCTGGCTCTACCCCAAAGCTGCAACCGGTAACCCGATGGTTCTAAAGGCAATTTTAAAATAAATAAATAAACAATCCAACAGAGTAGCCCAGCTTCCAGTCCAAGAAGGGGGGTGGTCCACGGGAATCTGCTAACAGAAGATGTAATAGGAAAATCAGCCCACAACTGAGCCACTTGGTGGGGTTTTCATCATTCTCTGAGACTAAAGGAACTAAATGTTCTCCTCTAGGTTTCTGGCTCTACCCCAATGCTGCAACCTGTAATCTGATGGTTCTAAAGGCAATTTTAAAAATAAATAAATAAATCAACAGTCCAACAGAGTATCCCAGCTTCCAGTCCAAGAAGGGGGGTGGTCCACGGGAACCTGCTAACAGAAGATATAATGGGAAAATCAGCCCAAAACTGAGCCACTTGGTGGGTTTTCATCATTCTCTGAGACTAAAGGAACAAAATGTTCTCCTCTAGGTTTCTGGCTCTACCCCAATGCTGCAACCGGTAATCCGATGGTTCTAAAGGCAATTTAAAAATAAATAAATAAACAGTCCAACAGAATAGCCCAGCTTCCAGTCCAAGAAGGGGGGTGGTCCACAAGAATCTGCTAACAGAAGATATAATAGGAAAATTAGCCCAAAACTGAGCTACTTGGTGGGTTTTCATCATTCTCTGAGACTAGAGGAACAAAATGTTCTCCTCTAGGTTTCTGGCTCTACCCCAGTGCTGCAACCAGTAATCTGATGGTTCTAAAGACAATTTAAAAATAAATAAATTAATTAAACAGTCCAACAGAGTATCCCAGTTTCCAGTCCAAGAAGGGGGGTTGGTCCATGGGAATCTGTTGACAGAAGATGTAATAGGAAAATCAGCCCAAAACTAAACCACTTGTTGGGTTTTCATCATTCTCTGAGACTAAAGGAAATAAATGTTCTCCTCTAGGTTTCTGGCTCTACCCCAATGCTGCAACCGGTAACCCGATGGTTCTAAAGACAATTTAAAAAATAAATAAACAGTCCAACAGAGTATCCCAGCTTCCAGTCCAAGAAGGGGGGTGGTCCACAGGAATCTGCTGACAGAAGATGTAATAGGAAAATCAGCCAAAAACTGAGCTACTTGGTGGGTTTTCATCATTCTCTGAGACTGAGGGAACAAAATGTTCTCCTCTAGGTTTCTGGCTCTACCCCAATGCTGCAGATAATCTGAATTCTAAAGGCAATTTAAAAAAAAATGAACAGTCCATCAGAGTAGCCCGGCTTCCAATCAAATAAGAGGGGTGATCCAAAGGCTTCCCTTGAGCCCTTGAGCATGGATCCATCTCCTCAGGGGGACAAAAGACAATTTTTCCAGGGTTTCAGCCTATTTAACAGTAGCCCAGCCCATCAGGGCACAAGTCTTCAAGGATTGGCTAGGCTCCATTAAAGTGATTCTAAAGGTTGTACATTTTTTAATTAAAAAAATAACAAACATGTCATACGTACCCACTCTGTAATGGTTTTGCACAGAGCAGCCCCAATCCTCCTCTTCTGGGATCCCCCACTGGCACTTCTGGCTACTCCCCATTGCCAAGTGCCCCCCGATAGCAAGCAGGACTTGTACATGCGTGTTCTTGAGCTGACTCTGTGGGACTTATTTACTAAAGCTGGAGAGTTCAGAATTAGGCGCACTTCTGCATAGAAACCAATCAGCTTCCAGGTTTTATTGCCAAAGCTTACCTGAACAAGCTGAGGTTAGAAGCTGATTGGCTGCCATGCACAGGAGCACCAGATTCTGAGTGAACCAGTTTTAGTAAATCTATCTCTGTGTGTCCATAGACACACAGAGCGCGGCTCAGCTCATCCCTGCCCCCCCACTCTCTCCTCACTGCCTGTGATTGACAGCAGCAGGAGACAATGGCTCCCTCTGCTGCCTGTCTGTCCAATGAGGAGGAAGAGACCCAGAGAGACACTGCTCTAATGCACATCGCTGGATTGGGCTCAGGTAAGTATCAGAGGGGCTGGAGGAGGGCTGAATACAGAAGGTTGTTTTATCTTAACCCCCCTGGAGGTATTCCTGAGTGTAGCTCGGGGTAAAGTTTCAGCACCACAAGCGGTAACCCCCCCCCCCCCCCCCCGAGCTACACTCGGGAATACACTGCAGCATTGCTCCGGGATCTCTTCTTCTCTTACCTTGTCCTGCGCTCCCGCGATGTCCCCCCTGCAGTGTCCCCTGTAATGTCCTCCGGCCGATGCCGGCATCTGTCTTCCGGGTTCCGTTCTCTGCAACGTCGGGACGTACGGGGGCGGAATTGGCGGGAAATTTGAAAATGTGAAAAAGTGACATTCACTAAATCCACTAAAATCACATCGTATAACATTCCTGTATCAAACCATTTCACATACATTGTGTCCCGAGTGCTTTGTCCGGCGCCCTGCCTGCATTTTTACCGCCTTTTCTGCCTGGAAACTGAGAAACGTCCATGGCGTCCAAAAAGCGTCCCTTTAGGTCAGACGCGGTTTTAGAGCGGCTAGAGAACAGCGATAGTAAATCAGAACCACTTGCAGAATTGAGTGATAATGATTGGTGGGGGAAATTCCTCATCAGACACTGAAAACGATTCTGCGACTGAGCTCAGCGATGGGCGAACTTGGCGCTCTATTTCACATTTCAGTGTTTTTGGTTTGATTATATTATTGGATTACATTTATTATTATATTATTTTATTATTTTTATGATTATTTATTAAATTATAATTTATGATTTCGTGTTTCAAATTTTATCCTCCCCGGGATGTTTACTAGACTCTTGTCCGGACAGATTTCAGGGAGTTATTCCTAAAAATTACAGCCTACAATAAAAAAAAATACATACATATTTCCATGCAAAAAAATGTACCGCTTTGAGCACAGAAATACTGACATAATCAGACCGCTAGGGAGGTTAATGCATAGAATGCATAAAGGTAAAAAAAAAACATTAAAAAAGTTTCTTTTGTGATCTCAGCATTGTGTGTGAGAGATGCACATGTAGCGCCCTCCTATGGAGGTGTTAGGGATTGTATAGTTAGGATTAGTGTTGGGTTTAATGTTCGAGTCGAAGTTAAGTTGGACTCGAACATTGACCATTGGAGTGTTCTCTGAACACACGAACAGTAAGGGCGCCCCACAATGCACTGCGCCCTGACAGGTCAGGTGCAATGCTTTGGCTAATCACAGCACATGATGATGTCACAAGGGGGCAGGTTGAACCCCCTTTGTGACATCATGACAGTATTTAAGAACTGTCATCGGGGTGCAGCTGACGGATGGCGGGAGCCGGCGTCATGAGCGGAGGGATTTTTTCTTTTTCTTCTTCATGATTGACGTTGGATCCACTTTGGGAGACTTTTTTTATTTTTAATAAAAAACTTGTCAAAGACTTTTTACGCTACGCTTTTTTTTTCTGAATCGGTAGCGATACCATGTACCCCATACTCATTCACATGGGGGGCGGGATCTTGGGGCCCTCTTATTAAAGGGGGCTTCCAGATTCCAATAAGAACCCCACAACCACAGCCCAAGGTTGTGTGGAAGAGGCCCTTGTCTCCATTTACATGGGGACAAGGTACTTTGGGGGGGAGCCTGTGTAACCAATTGTGTATTGAGGGCATGTGGCCTGGTATGGTTCAGTGGGGGGGCACTTGCTTGTCCCCTATCCTTTCCTGATCTGCTGGGCTGCATGCTCGGATAGGAATCTGGTATGGAATTTGGGGGGGGGGGGACTATCACACTATTTTTTTTTTACATTTTGGCATGGGGGTTCCCCTTAAATCCATACCAGATCCAAAAGGCTTGGTATGGATGGGAGGGGGGACCCCACACCGTTTTTTTTTAATGTTTTAATTGTTGGGCAATGCTGACAATTCTTTTTCCATTCAGCTGTCGGTGGGGAACCCCACTGACACCGGAGAGATGAATGAATGTCTCACTACTAACATACCGCGTGATGTCATCATAGAACTCCCGCTGGATTGTAGTCACTGAGCGGATCTCACCACAGACTCAGATGCAGGAAGATACCGCTCAGTAAACTGTTCGTGTTTGAAGTTCGCGGTTGAACATTCTGTAGGTTCGGATGTTCTACCTCAAACTGAACAGGGGAGTGTTCAGCCCATTACTAGTTAGGATTAGTATAGCTGTGTTTCTCTGCTTAACCACCTCCCGTCCGGCAGTTGTATATAAAAAGGCCGGAAGCAGGGGCGGACTGACATCTCATGGGGCCCCAAGGGACGGTGCAGGTGGGTGGAGGACAGTGCTCGGAGGTGGGTGGAGGATGGAACCAAGGGACGGTGCTCGGAGGTGGGTGGAGGATGGAACCAAGGGACGGTGCTCGGAGGTGGGTGGAGGATGGAACCAAGGGACAGTGCTCGGAGGTGGGTGGAGGATGGAACCAAGGGACGGTGCTCGGAGGTGGGTGGAGGATGGAACCAAGGGACAGTGCTCGGAGGTGGGTGGAGGATGGAACCAAGGGACGGTGCTGGAACCAAGGGACAGTGCTCGGAGGTGCTCGGGGTGGGTGGAGGATGGAACCAAGGGACAGTGCTCGGAGGTGGGTGGAGGATGGAACCAAGGGACGGTGCTCGGAGGTGGGTGGAGGATGGAACCAAGGGACGGTGCTCGGAGGTGGGTGGAGGATGGAACCAAGGGACAGTGCTTGGAGGTGGGTGGATGATGGAACCAAGGGACAGTGCTCGGAGGTGGGTGGATGATGGAACCAAGGGACAGTGCTCGGAGGTGGGTGGATGATGGAACCAAGGGACAGTGCTCGGAGGTGAATGGATGATGGAACGAAGGGACAGTGCTCGGAGGTGGGTGGATGATGGAACCAAGGGACAGTGCTTGGAGGTTGGTGGAGGATGGAACCAAGGGACGGTGCTCGGAGGTGGGTGGATGATGGAACCAAGGGAAAGTGCTCGGAGGTGGGTGGATGATGGAACCAAGGGACAGTGCTCAAGGGGGTGGAGTGGAGGATGGAACCAAGGGACAGTGCTCGGAGGTGGGTGGAGATGGAGGTGGGTGGAGGATGGAACCAAGGGACGGTGCTCGGAGGTGGGTGGGGGATGGAACCAAGGGACGGTGCTCGGAGGTGCTCGGAGGTGGGTGGAGGATGGAACCAAGGGACAGTGCTCGGAGGTGGGTGTGGAATGGAACCAAGGGACAGTGCTCGGAGGTGGGTGGGGAATGGAGGGGACAGTGTAACCAAGGAACGGTGCTCAGAGGTGGGTAGGGGATGGAGACAAGGGGTGACTTGGAAGGGGGGAGTACCTGCACCTATTCTCTGAGAAATAAAAGCCCTGGCTCTCACTAACACCAACTTTACACAATGCAATAAAATCCAGAGGCTTGACATGTGCGACCCAACAGTGGGCAACTACCTACACACATGCTCAGAACCCCCCCTCATGCAGGGGTGTATTTACCACAAGGCAAACAAGGCATTTGCCTAGGGTGACATTTTTCAGGGGGGCAGCAGCATTTTTCAGGGGGGCAGCGTGCTGTCCCCCGAAAGAAGGGATGGAAGAAGGGACACAAGCAGCATGGGGACCAGGTGGGACCTGAGAGAGGCTGTGGGCTGCTTGATGCCGTATGCAGAGCCTGACTCTTGTTCCCGGGGATGTCTGGAGCTGTGAAGGTCGGCGTCTTCTCTCTCGCCGGAGGGGTTGCCAGTGTATGAGGGGCTGTGCAGTGGAAGGCTCTCTTTGTGGGGGAGAGGGGTGTTAGTCGGCATCAGGGTCTCTCCGTGGGAGGGGGCGATTTTTGTGTTGCCTAGGGCAGCACGAAACCTAAATACACCCCTGTCCACATGTGCATAGGTCCTAGACACCTGAAAGACACTTGCGGCGCACATGCACACGTGCCTCCGTTTTAAAGATGGCTGCACAGAAGAGGGGCAGGGGAGCCAAGTCATTTAGCACTTTAGTTCCGCTTTGAGAAACATTAGCACAATGAGATCCAATAATGAAAGCAAACTCTAGCTGGAATCCAACCCTGACGACTCCACCTAGAATACGGCGAACGATTGTCGGTGAAATGTGTCTTTTCTGTGGCATTGTATATCCAGAGATTCCCGTGTTCCATCTGCAGCGGACTCTGAGAGTTACAAGGAATACAACACACAATTTTGAGGACAAGCTTTCAGGGTATGTCCCCTTCTTCAAAGTCCAAACAGTACTATTACAAATCACAAAGTTTAAGCAGAATGTTAGAAGGGATTGAGAAAAAAAAAAAAGGCTACAGATAAGATACATCAAAAGCGAGGGGGGGAGGGGGGATACTACACTCACACAGAGGGGGTCAAGCTTCAGCTAATAGATAGTCATAAAACTGTCAGATAATGGTTGAGGAATCCCATGTCCAAGTTAAGGCCGTTATCTTTTGTGTCAAATAGAATTATCATTCTTAGTTCAAATGTTTTTCTTTCCTGGATGGATTTGAATTTTCCTTTCAGAACTAAAACATTGAGGTCTCCCATTGTGTGGTCTGGTTGTGTGAAATGGTGTCCTACAGGTGTGCAGAGGTCATCTTCTTTATGTTCCTTGATGGTATGTCTGTGCAGATTCATCCTTGTTTGCACCTTCTGTCCTGTTTCACCAACATAACATGTCTGACACTCAAAAGGAATCTTCAATATTTCCAGATCATACATCTGCACCTCCAGTAATGTTGTGTACCTCATCCAGTGCAGAAAATGCAGCAAAGGCTCTTATGTTGGTGAAACAGGACAGAAGGTGCAAACAAGGATGAATCTGCACAGACATACCATCAAGGAACATAAAGAAGATGACCTCTGCACACCTGTAGGACACCATTTCACACAACCGGACCACACAATGGGAAGACCTCAATGTTTTAGTTCTGAAAGGAAAATTCAAATCCATCCAGGAAAGAAAAACATTTGAACTAAGAGTGATAATTCTATTTGACACAAAAAGATAACGGCCTTAACTTGGACATGGGATTCCTCAACCATTATCCCACAGTTTTATGACTATCTATTAGCTGAAGCTTGACCCCCTCTGTGTGAGTGTAGTATCCCCCCTCCCCCCCCCTCGCTTTTGATGTATCTTATCTGTAGCCTTTTTTTTTTTCTCAATCCCTTCTAACATTCTGCTTAAACTTTGTGATTTGTAATAGTACTGCTTGGACTTTGAAGAAGGGGACATACCCTGAAAGCTTGTCCTCAAAATTGTATGTTAGTGCAAATAAAAAAAGTATCACGGACAGGACTCAATTGTTTCTGTTGCAAATGCACTAATACGACTACAATCACCTCAAGCAAAGAATACAGCAGAATTCCATGCGATGAATCGGCAGCATCATACACATGTGAACGACGATTGCTCCCTCTGTTGTCTTTTCATAGGACGCCACCATCAGCGCTGAGTGTCAACCAACAAAGGAACCATCATTGCTGAATTATTGAATGTTTTCTTTGTGGCGTTTCATGGTGGATTGTACTCTGTGTAACCCGGTCCCGTCTATTCCCTGTGCAGAACAGATGAGAGCCGGTCCACTGATGTAGCAGTTCTGGTCTCCTGCCTCTCTCCCCTCATGCTTCCACGCAATCTGTTTCACCTACAAACCTTGGGGGTCTCATTATATTTGTGAAAACATCCTGCCTAGCAGAACGCAGAACATTGCACAGATGGTGTGCCGGATATGGACGGGGGCAATATCCAGACTCTATACCACCAACAATGCAGAGCCGGTGATTCTCTATGCTTGGCCGCTCGCACACATGCAGCAGGCGTAGGACGTATATGTTTGATAGATGAGACAGCTAATGTAAGATTGCAGACAATGGGACTGGAAAGTATGGAATGGAATTACAATAACCCCAAGGAGAGGAAATATGTCTTCTTACAAGTTGCTTTGTCCACTCCGAGCCAAGCAACACGCTCAGCACATCAACCGAGCGGCAGCTGGAAAGAATGCTGTGCTAGTTGGCACGAAATCTGGTGTAATAATCGTGATACGTCTGCTGGCTACAGAGCACAAAACTAGGAGCGTTCTGTAAAATCTATGGCGGGTCGTCAAGGAGAAACTTCTGGGGGAAAGACTGCTAGAGATGTTACCACTTGGCCAACTCATTGTCATTGATATCCATTATTAGTAAGAAAAGTTGGCTTTGTGCCCTTCGCTAGTTTGTTTACTCAGCCGATGGCTAAGCTCCACCAACTGCCACGCATGTCCTATAGGAGAGCCTTTACTGACCAGTGTTAGTGTTTGGGCACCACTCAGACCCAGGGAACACATGTGCCAATATGCAGGCCAGGACTTCCACCAGTACCCTACATGGCACTCTGCATTGCGTGTATATTGATGCGCACATCCCATTCCAGAACTGGCACCAAACTGTGAATTTTGCCAAATCAGCAAGTGACCTAATTGTCCACACATACATGGTCTAGGACAACCATTCTCAACTAGGGTTCCTCCAGAAGTTGTAAGGGGATCCTTGAGCTGTGGCTAATTGACCTCCCATCTGATGGTGCCTTCATAGATCCAGGTCCATTATCGCTTGACAGAGCCAGTGGCATGACACAAATGTAAGCTGTCTATAACGGTGATATTCTTACTATCACTGTAATGGTGGCATTTCCCTGACCACCAATGTAAGGGACATTCTTCCCACTGACCCCCAATGTAAGGGACATTCTTCCCACTGATCACCAATGTAAGGGACCCCACCACCATGTAAGGGACATTCTTCCCACTGACCCCCAATGTAAGGGACATTCTTCCCACTGACCCCAATGTAAGGGACATTCTTCCCACCGACCCCCAATGTAAGGGACATTCTTCCCACTGACCCCCAATGTAAGGGACATTCTTCCCACTGACCCCCAATGTAAGGGACATTCTTCCCACTGACCCCCCAATGTAAGGGACATTCTTCCCACTGACCCCCAATGTAAGGGACATTCTTCCCACTGACCCCCAATGTAAGGGACATTCTTCCCACTGACCACCAATGTAAGGGACATTCTTCCCACTGACCACCAATGTAAGGGACATTCCTCCCACTGACCCCCAATGTAAGGGACATTCTTCCCACTGACCCCCCATTCTTCCCACTGTGTAAGGGACATTCCTCCCACCAATGTATCACCAATGTAAGGGACGTTCTTCCCACTGACCCCCAATGTAAGGGACATTCTTCACACTGTCCACCAATGTAAGGGACATTCTTCCCACTGACTGTAAGGGACATTCCTCCCACTGATCACCAATGTAAGGGACATTCTTCCCACTGACCCCCAATGTAAGGGACATTCTTCACACTGTCCCAATGTAAGGACATTCTTCCCACTGACACCAATGTAAGGGACATTCTTCCCACTGACCCCCAATGTAAGGGACATTCTTCCCACTGACCACCAATGTAAGGGACATTCGTCCCACTGACCACCAATGTAAGGGACATTTGTCCCATTGACCCCCAATGTAAGGGACATTTGTCCCATTGACCCCCAATGTAAGGAGGGTTCTTAATGCTGACCACTGATAAAAAGGGCATTTTCTTAATAATCTCCAATGGACTAATCCTAGCAGGGGTGTACGAGGGTCTTTGTGGTTGGCTAGTAATGGCGTCAAGAGCACAGGTCCCTACTCCTGCTTCTGTCCTTCAAGAACACCTCCTCCACTGAGGCCAGTATGACCTTCCCGGTTGTTGACCTTTATATCCCAAAGAAGGAATATCAACACATTGAAGAAGAATT